CCATTTGGAATTAACACATTGTGCTGATATTAATGTGTGTCATTCAGACTTATTCCCAAGCCAAACTGAACTGAAGGTCATGGGATATCATCACACATATGTTGGACACAACTCACAGTCATCAGACATTTTGTCAGACATCCCTGTAAAAGATATTGTAAGGCCTGCTCTCGCTACAGAGTTTTAAGTTGAACCAGGTAGAATGAGATTAATAGGCTTAATTGGAAAACTCTGTGTGTAGAGAGGTAAAGCACTAATGATCCTGTAACAACAGAATCAACAGAACTTTCGTGAATCCTAAAAAAAACTGTTCATGCAAAACAAACTATTCATGAATCACAATTCACATATAATTCTATTCCTTCATTCATGGGTCACATTTAAATCAAAAGTTCCTTTCATGTACACACAAAAAGATTTGAAACATTACAATCACAAATCACAGATTCACAGATAGTAAAATAACCCAATCACACTTCATGTGAAAAGTATAGGGGCCTGGGCAAGCAGAAGGTCGATTAACTGATATTTGATTTGATGTGTGAGACGTTTTGGCTATCAAAGAGTGAAAGAATACCTTCTGAGCAAGATTCATCATTAATATCATCAATTCCTTCTTCTAAGAGATCATCTTCATAATAACCATCAGATAAATTACCATCATCATCATCTTCAGTGCATTCAGAAAAGCAACCATCACCTGGCAATCTTTCAATACAACAATAATCAATCTCTTCAACCCCCTCTTCACAAGCTTCTCCATCACCCCCCAGTCTACTGGCTGTGCCCTTGCGACAAAATGTGGTAGACCTTGGAACTTCTGGTGGTTTTGGTGTCTTTGCAGAGCTTGATAGCGTGACAGATCCAAATTTTAACAATCTTTGATTGCCAACACTTGAAATCACTTTTGCATCTGGCTGTACTTCATCAGTTTTGTTTAAATCCGTCTTTTCACGACTTATCTTGAGTTGTTTAAGTTTAGAGTCAACCATAGAGTCAGTTTTACTGTAGCTTTCCTTGTTATCTTGCTTTGACTTTTTGTTTCTTGCGGTAAACGTTTCCATAACAACTTCAAAGTGTGAACAACTGTTCACTTATATAAAATCTCGACATTTTACAACTCATTGCCACAATATTTACGACACCAAATAAAGGTCTTAAAATAACCAAGACCATCACACTGCTGCATGATCACATTTATATGAAATCTCTAGGTAGAAAATCTGTTTATAACTCCCTCCATGTGCATATAAAGTCTTAATATAAACAGGTTTTTTTCACATTTGAAGTTTGATCCCATATTTCGAATGACGGAAGTTAGCGTGACGACATACGTACGTCAATTGACGAATCAACGACCAGAGAATTTCCCGGGGGGTTGAACAAAACCGCAAACCGAAGCAAAATCATCAATCAAGGAGTCAAATAACATAGAAAAAATAGATATCTATTTCTATGAGTCAAAACATTCTCGTCTTGTTTTGATTCATATCTTGAGTAAGAGTTTAATCTCCAGAGTTCGAATTGTGTTCTGTTTTATACTTTTTGAAATCGTGGTATTGGTTTTTATTCCGATAAATTGCAACGAGAAACTGGAGACGAGTGAATCGCTTTTGATTGCGGACAAACATTTTTTTTTTAATTTGAAAGAAAAGGTTAATTTGAACATTTTGAAACTGTGAATTAGTGTGAAAACTGAAAAAGTTTAGTAACGAGATGTAGAAAAAGGAATACAAAAAACAAAAAAGGGTAGCGGGTTCAACTATCTTGACCGGGCTGTCGCACGCCTCCTATTCACAAGTGCTATCCCACTACTGTTTGACGCGGGAACTTTTGTCTGCTATGTTTCCATCCTGGACCGGTACGTTCCTCTTTATTCAACCTGGTGAACGAAGGTTCCCCTAAGTTCACCATATTGGCGCCCAACTTAGTGTGGACACCCGATCGACATAGATCGACGTACGACAGGAGTCCCGACCTCAAGTCATTCGACACTACCCGCTCCGTAGTAGCTCGGTTACAGGCGCACGCCACCACGCCCAGCGATCGTATCACTGAAATTTATTATATTTAAATTCTACCTGTTTCGCACAAAAGTCAAGGAACAACGTCAATATGCATTAGGTTAATAAGGGGCCGACCATTTAACTTTTGAGGGGGCGGGGGGGATTTTGAAAAAAAATTTCCTGCAAGGCCATTCTGAACAAAAAAAAATACCTGCACTAACAAACTTAGGGAAAAAATATCCTGCCCCATTATTTAGTGGGAAAAAATGTTGCAAAACAGCATGGTTGCAGGGCTCGATTTGACCAGTCCGAGAAGATCAGCTGGTTTGATTTTCAGGGACTAGTGTAAGGTTAATCAGTTTCTTGTTGGAAAACTCCTCAAAGTGCTGGAAATAGCTTATCTCAACCTCGTTCCCAGGGCTTTTCCCTTTTTGTAAATTTCTGAGGGGCATGCCCCCAGACCCCTCTAGAGGCTCCCATCTTTGGTGGTCGACTCGGTTGTCTCAGAATCCTAGGTATGGCCTGATCTGCTGCCCTATGGCACATACTAATTAGTTAAACCATGCATATATATGCTGCAGGTAGCTGCAGCGACACAGACTTGCCGACTGGAACTTCTCCAGGTCCCCCACTAAATATGTCATCTCCAGTTACACATCCTTACAGAGCCGTAGCAACCGGGGGGGGGGGCTGGAGGGCTGCAGCCCCCCCCCCCAATAATTTGCTAATAATCATAAATAATTTAGGGCTCTTTTTTCAAAATCATGCAGACCTTTATTATTTAATCCATGACAAACTGCAAAGAATGAAGATATTACCCATACTCCTGCAACTTATCCAACATATAGTTAATTAAACACGCCTTCGCCCATTTAGTACTACTAAATTGTAAATTTCAACATCATAAAACGCTGTTTTCTGACCATCAGAATTCTGTCAAATCTTCCGCCGAAGTCCAGGAAATGGCAGTTTCAGAGACTCTAAATTTAAAAATTTTCTCGGGCCTTCAGCCCTCCTTTGCCCCAAATCGAAAAGAGCTTCCTACGGCCCTGCCTTAAAAGAGGGCATCAAACAACTATTTCGCTGACCTCAGAATGACATTTCGTCAAAACTTTTTTCTTCAAGATTGGTTTAGAAACAAATTTGGAGTAGGGTTAGGTTAGGGTTAGGGTAAGGATTAGGGTTTTGGTTAGAGGTGGTGTTTGGAATTGGAGTAGGGTTAGTGTTAGTAAAACCGTTGCTTTGTTACGTTTTGTCACTCTGAGGCCAGCGAAATAATCTCTTCCTTAAAAGAGGCCAAGCAATGCATGAAGCTAGAAAACTCAACGTTAACTATATAATTATAGAATCTAAATAGTGGTGTTGGGACAGAAAAAAAACCCAACTTGCACATAACGATCCCAGAAAAAAATTCCCTGCCAGCAGTAAATCACCTCCCCCCCCCCAAAAAAAGTTAAATGGTCGGCCCCTAAAGAGATACAGATCAGTCCCTCTCTCCTCCGCAGAGGCTTTAGTTTTCTTATTACGATGAGATACATTTCACTGCACTTTACATGGCGGATCTTGAAACACGAGCGTAGCCGCTGGGCGAAGGAGAGAGAGGATCAGTCCCACTGAGCTCTACTACACGCGTAAAAATCATCATGTTGTTGCAAGTTGTCAACAAGTTGCTGCAACTTGGTTCTGAACAGGATGCTGCAATATTGTGCGGCCCACTTGCAGCAATGTTGTCAACAATATTGTTCACGCTTGTTCGAACAATGTTGTTGACGCCTGATGAACGAACAAGGCCTGAACAACGTCGTTGGAACAACTGAGATCAACCTGATATCAATGATGTTTTATATTGTCAACAACTGCGAACAGTCTTGTTTTATCAATACGTAAACAACCTGATATCAATCGGTTTCGACGCTGTTATTCGTGGCCATTTTCCAGGGGGGAAAGAGAAATTTAAAGGCACAGTTCAGCCTTTTGAATGATGGTTTTTAAGGCGCATTACAACCGAATTGAAAAAACTAATTAGGAAAATCAATTAAGCACAATTCAAGATCAGTGATTTCAATGTTTTTAACATTTTTAAACATTTCTAATGTTTTTTAACATTGAGTTCACTGATTTTGAATTATGCTTAATTGATTTTCCTAGTTAGTTTTTTCAATTAAAAGTCTTGTAATGCGCCATAAAAACCATCACCCAGAAGGCTGAACTGTGCCTTTAAATAAGCACACAAACAGACAAACTTCGCTTCTTGATATGAAATTCAGTTTATTTTGAAATAAGAAAATACAGATTAGTGAACAAATACAAACTAAAGAGATAATTACAGTAAAAGTACAAAGGTAAGATGACTATAAACTATTTTATATGCAATTAAGGTTTATAAAATACTAAGTACTATTTATAAATCTAAATACTTGATAGTGTTAAGTGTTTTGACTTTTGAGTTCATATTAAATACTGGTAAACAATGGCGGTATTTTAGCAAAAGGTAGTGCAACCCTGCAAGCTCTATAATTATTATTTAGGTATTGTCAGGATGGAATTTGAATCTGTTGGAGCAAGTCTATCACAGAGATTTTATGAACCATGCATGCAATTTGTACATAATCATATATTTGCCCATTATATTTATAAACTGACAGTTAATAATTAATCTTTCACAGACTATTAAAATCATCTGGGGCCGGTAGTTGAGTAGTTCAAAGGCTTTCACGGGCTTCGAACAACCGAGCCCAGATGATTTTATTAGTATGTGAAAGAGTAATATTATTAACTGTCAGTTTATAAATATAATGGGCAAATTAGAGATGGAGTATATAAAATTATTACTAAAGTAGGCTCATTGCCAATTGATGGATTAGGTTAACATAATTAATAAACTATAGATGGTTTTGTTGCGCATCTCACTCAATGGAAATTTTAATGTTGGGTTTTGTTGATGGATAAATCGAGTACTTAATAATTTGAATTAAAATATGGACCTAACCAGGCCCTTATTGCCTCAATGGCATCTTATTCAAATAATCATTTAACTTGAAATAAAGGGATCTCCCTCAATTGATTTAGCCTGCAGAGGGCCAAACCCATTCCTGGATCACTTGACCTGAAATTCAGGCCCTACTTTCAATTTTCTGTCTGCATCCTTTTGAATGTTCAATATTTTTAACCTTTAACAATGATAATGATTATTCAATTAAAGTCAACAATTTCTTTTTCATCCTGAAAACATCCAGTTAATTCAGTCCTCCTGAATTTGTTTGACACTCCTTAGCAGTGATATTTCTGTAGATTTGCCATTATTTTATTCCAGATATGAACTCACAGGCCCTATAAATTATGATTAAATACATAGTGCCATTAATTTACAAAATGGACCTTTGCAATGTTTATGCATGCACTAGTCAATTGAAACCCCCAACCCCAGGGACAGGGTGGGGAATTAACGGGGGAATGGCCGTGGATTAACACGGTCTTAATGCAGATTTCCCCCAGGGTACAGGGTAATAAATAACAAATCAATTTATTAGCCAGGACAATTAATTCCCAAGTCATGAAAATTTCCCAAGTCATGAAAATTTGCAAAGTGCTGGGACCATAGGGACAGTAATTTTAACAGCCAATATTCTCCCGGTAGCAGGGAAATGTCCAAAATTTAACATTGTCAAAATGTTAATTTCCCCTCCCTATCCCGGGGGTCGGGGTTTCAATTGACTAGTGCATTATGGTGGGATGCAGGCATGCAGCCCCAATTGTATGTTCCCCACCATATTTTACATGGCTCATGCCATATAACTTCAGTACATGGTCATTTTTGGATCCATGCCTGGGACATATCATAATCTTGAATCTAATTTGGGTATTCAATCATGTTTAATAGACATCTATGCAGTCCACATATGGACTGGTCATGCTAAGTCTATTGCCAAAATAGCCTCCATCTACACAGACCACAACAAAGGTATAAAAATTACTTACCAAGTGATCACCCATTGTATATAATTTGTCTGACATATTCATAAATCTTTATTTTTATACTTAAGTTTACACTACAAAAAGGATAAAAATGAGACAATAATTACTTTTGAGCATAATAATGGTCCTAATTATCCCCCATAGCCATGTGATAAAATCATAGCTACCTCCTTCATACCTTCCATGACAATTATAGAGGGCCCCCTATACCTCTTCACAATATGCTTTCACGTAAAAATATTTTGCCTTTTCACGAGTCACGGATTAAGAAAATCATCGATCACGTTTCACGGCTAAGTAAAATAAGCCCTTCACGCAAAACGTATAGGGGGCCCGATCACGTTTCACGGCTAAGTAAAATAAGCCCTTCACGCTTCATGCAAAAAGTATAGGGGGCCCTCATTATAGTCACCTGCATGCTTAACCAGGAAATAAAACTATGAGGAAATATGAGAAATGGCTAATTATTTAACTGTATGCACTCTTACCTACTTACCTATAATC